CGTTTGACAAAAACACATTCGGGTGATGCGTTCTGTTTTTTGCTCGTTTAAGTCGATTGCGTTGGCAATAAGTAGAATATGAATGACTTGAGTGAGAAAAACGCCGTGGAAGCACAACCCATTTTGCGGTTTTTTCCGCTCATCAGGTATGCGTATCGGGTAATCTTTTGCATATNATATATATATATATGTATGTGTGTTTGTATGAATGAAGTACGGTAGAACTGTCAGTTGACATATTTAGCCCATCAAACCACGAATTTTAGAGTGTGAGAGAAAAATAAATTTGTGAGGACAGCGAAACCATGCCAAATCACTGTTGTTGCTATCATACATCAGTTGAACGACGTTGCCTCCATTCTATGCCCTGCGATGGTTTCACATACCGTTCCCGAGATAACGGCTGATGTGGCGGCGATGTCACAGATAGCATTAGTTGGCAACCCAGCCGTCTACAGACCCGTGGACCGAGTTCATCCAGAGGTTGGACGAAATGAATGATACACTCCGTTCATCAGGTCAGCGTGTTGGTCTCCATGGAAGTTTGCACTGACCACACGTGTACTCTTTCTTTCTCTGGTCCCCGATGAGCGCTTTGCATTCTCGCATTTCAGACTTTTCCTTTGCCATTAGAGATCGATTGTCACAGACAGCACATGTACACCGACTCCTTAAGGCTCATCTTCGCATCAGTGCCCCATATATTTTAACCGTGTGAGCAGGGCCGAACAACCGAGTATGATAAGGGATCAAATTTGACTGACAGTAACGTATTTCAACATGTGTCAAATGTTCCATTTTTGGCAGTTATCTATCGTCGCTCTTTCGTAAACTACTCCCTATTTCGTTCCTCAGCTTCGGGTACAAGTCAGTCTGCTCGAGGAGAATCGTACAATGCTCGGACGACCCTCGATCATTGTGCACGATCAGAACAGTATACCGCTGAACAAACTGGCCCGCAGTATCAACGAGTTCATCAGTCCGGGCACCGGAGTTAGTCTGTTTTACAATAAGGAATTGACCAAAAGACTCAGCACCCGCACGAGTCAGTGTGATCATCGACCGGTGCGGATTATGGATCACGAGTATAAATATGACCGAGTAAGTGATGTCTATTCGGATGATTGCATCATCATCAGAATCATCATCGTCATCATCATCATCATCACCAGGCTCCCATCTGTTATAATTCCGAGACTTATTCGTTAGTCTACCGTTGGAAATAAGAAACGCTGTTTTCTGCTAACTTGAAATGTGAACCGAGTGGATCCCGGATATATGTATATGTTTGCCGGTTTTTTGCTGCAACATCAGTCCAAAGAACAACGGTGTCCTTGTTTCACCGACAGCTTTCCGGTCACCTAGCAATCAGAACGAGTGGTGATAGTGGGTCAAGTGATTCCCCTGGTATATATCAAAACAAAAAGAGGATATGGGGTCAAAGTGGATTCGGTAATTTGATCGGAAAAATATTTCTAACCAAGATAACATCAGTTTTTGTTTAAAGAACATCATAATCGATAATCCCATTGATTACATAAATTATTTCTGAAATCAAATTTCTCCATCATTAGGTATGCCATGTCATAAATAAATCAGTTTTCATTTTTTAAACATAGTTTTCCTTTGAAGATGATTGATTTCGGTTGAACGGGGTGAACAGTGATAACATAAAAAGAAACCTGATGGACGACACTTTGGTTAAAACAGTAACTGTTTGATTTTGTCATCCATGCCTCTTAGATTCGAAAACGGAATGAATGAATGGTGAATAAAAGATGGTGATGTAACTTTCATATTCTTTCAATTTATCCAGTGCATTCAATTGACAGTTATTCGGACAATTTAAAACAGGCCCAACTTAAAAGGGAGATATTCAAACTTCTCACTGCTCGACACATAAGAAGACAAAACCAATATTAAATTAGTAATCATTGTATTGTATTGTATTGTATTGTATTGTCAATTTTTTAGGCTCAAAAGTTCACATTTCAGTTTAAAAGACTACATATCCGAATAATTACATTGAACACGCGACATGTGGTGTAACGGGTGAAGCAGTGATTTAGTCGCTGTCACCGGGGTGCTTTGGACCTTATGGTCCGAGGTTCAAACCCCGCCGCTGCCACAACCACCACAACTCAACTCTGGTGGTAGACAGGTTTGCTGTCGTCCGGTTCACCTAACGAAGCCTAACCCCCAAAGGCACCGTATGTGGTTCGCCACTCCGAATCCCGCGGGACTTAGGACAACGGTTTCCATGACTGAACAACAAGTCCTCATGACTATGTGGTTTACCCCATTTTCTGCTCATCACAGAGGTATAAAAGCGAAAAGTGTCCTTAAATGCGGTGAAGACGTTTGTGATAACCGACAAAGTGCACTGGACAGTTGTTTCGTCCTGTTTGAATTCCGAACCCAAATGTTCGCGGTTCGAGTCCTGACAGGGACACAAAACGTACGCAATGCTGACGAGTCCCAAACAGGACGAAACAACCGTCCAGTGCTCTTTATCACAAACATTTCCATCGCATTTAAATTCAAACATTCACCATCTGAAAAGAGTCTTATTCCAAATAAGGTCCACGGGGAATTTGTAGTTCACGTGTTTCCCTCCTGATTGCTTGTGAGTGCCGGTACATCATTGATGAGGCGCATGCGAAGTTTGTTAAACATTTTTTCCTACTCCAGTTCGTATTTGTTTTTTGGAATTCGGTAGAGTATTCGGACAGGCTGGAATCGCAGTTGGTTAATTCACACAAGAGATTGTGAGGTGATCTGAAAGTCACACAATTAACTGGTTTATCGAAGAGGAGGAAATAGGACCACTGGTTTTCAGATCGCTGAAAAACGACTTTGAAATATTGACCTAGTAAGCCCCGGATAAACAGCGGAAGAGTAGTATCGATAGGTGAAACTCAATCGTGTACACTATTTAAAAGAAACTGAGGTGGAAAGTTCTTTGGAGCTAATATATACGGAGATCTGGAGATTGCCGGATGAAAAACGAACTTGATCAAAATTATCGATGGCTTGGTATTAACGAACGCATCATCTGTCAGTGAAATAGTTCGATATCCCAGTGTGAATCGAGAATTATAGAATCCATTTGTTGCAAAAGAGATAGGGAAGTTTCCTCGAAAAGATTGAACAGAGTCATTCAAAATTTCATTGATTTCGGACGGAGACCGTGTGCGAATTGTATAACAACACTGCGTTTGGATGCAGCATTTTCAGGCAACTGTAGAACAAATGTTTGGAATAAACAGAAAAGTTGGATGAATGTTTGTTTGTTTTTTTCTAATCCGAATAAATTTGACCCATTTTGTAACAGTGAATGTGTGTACTTTGATTCATTCGCACTGCCGGTAACTGTCTCAGCTGAGAAAGTGGTCACAGAGTGGACATAGATAGGTGAGCTATCTGAGCTATCCGTAGTGGAGGAGTAATTGTATTTGTTTCAGCATTTTTTTTTCAAATCAACATTAGCGAATGGCTCCAAATCAGAAAAACGAGGAGTGATCGACAAGGGGAAGGCAAATGAAGCATTTGGCACATCGAAGCATCAAAATCCTATTCAAAACGATAGAACGACCAGGATGATTTGTCACTGGTGTTTCATGTTGCTCGGACCTAAGGACCTCGATTAGAGAATATCGCCTCTTATCGGCACTGATAAACCGGAGCATATATGCCCGTGAGATCTGAAGCATGGTGCTATTTGTGCGCAAACGATGATTGTTTTGTTTTTCTTTGCCACAAGTGCTTGATCCCTAAACCGGTAATTAATGAGTGAGAACTCTACTGATCACGGGCAACGCCGGATGGGACAGTCTGATAAAAAAAAAAATGATCGATTCAATGATTCCAAACAGATGTTTACAATAAATTTCTAACAGTCACACAATCCACAATCCCTTTGTCGCATTCGGATGTTGTAGACTAATAGTTCACTTGACCTATGCATCATTCAACGCCTGCCCCCCCATCCTCTCCCGCGAGCCACTAACATCCCCGTGCTTTGTGTGGCACGCAGAACGTTTGGGATTCAGAAACGATTCCATTTTTCTGTGCGTTTCCAACTGAGTACAATTAGATTTGATTGGAACCGATTGGGGGACTTTTTCCGACTGCGTGAAGTCGTTATGCCTGGCCAGTGAGCCCAGTTAACAGCCTGAGTAAACCCGTGTTATTTTGAAAGCAAATGACTTCATGGTGTCGGGACCATTATGTTGCGAGGGCAGTTCCGTCCGGTTGCCTCTAGGCTAATTTAGACCAATAACGCATGTGGCGGTTGCGTAGAGTATTTCATTGGTGGTCAGCTGTAGTGTGAACGAACCTATAGCAGGAGGGTCACGGGTGAGGCCCTGCTCGTCTTCGCTTGTAGACTTCAGTACACTGTATTGGAATAATTTACTTTTTGAGCCTGGCTCCTCATGTGGTACTAACAGCGATTTTACGCAACAACTATTCGAAAAATGAAACCGGGTCAACTGCATGCTGTGTGCAATTGATGTCCTTCCGGCTGAACGGTAAATCCCGTGCGCTAGACTCACGCGCAATAGTTCGCCAACAAAATTACTCGACATCTACAGTCAACCCAATTCAAAAGCTGGTCTTTGAAGTGGATCACAATCTGAAAACATCTGGCACATGCCCAATCGGAAAAACCTCCTTTACTCGCCCAATCACCGGAAGGATAGATAAACGAGTGCACCGGTATCTCTTGTATTCAGATTTCAGCTAATCTGCAGTTTTCGCAGTACAATCTGGCAAAACAAATCCCAAACCATCACAACCGATGTCAAGACTTAGCCTCCAAGCGGCTAATAAAGTCCATGTCGCCATATTCCCCCGGCGGATGATCTGATGTGAATCCACGTTACTTGAGTGTGAAACACCAAGAAGCACATATCTGACCCGATCTAATCTGTTAAACCGCGTTGATATTCGGCAGATTTTGACATTGATTGAAGTAACCGTTGTAGGCTTGCGTAACCCAGTCACCTATATATAGTAACTATTTTCACAGGCGATCAGTTTTCACCTACATATCCTCAGTTCAAACATATTTTTGTATTATTGTCCATGTGGGGCTCTCCCTAAGGGTTTCATTTATATTACCCGAATGTTTTCGCAAAGGTATTTCCCAAAAATGTTTTCAATGGTGTGGCTCGAGGTGGAGTTTCGTCTCCGCGAAGGAAGCTGTATGATTTCGGTTTCTTTTTTATTATTTTACTTTCTTTCATTGAATATAAAAAGATACAATCCTCAGGGAGGGTAAGGCAGCCAATCAAAGTTCTACCATAAAACACACATAACGGTTAAAAACAGGCTGTGATGGTGGGATTCGAACACCCGTCCTGCGGAGTGATAATTGATGAGGTTACCACCGGGTGGCGGTGGCGCAGTGGCTTAGTCGCTGTCACCGGCGTGCTTCGGACCTTGTCATCCGAGGTTCGAGTCCTGCCATAGCCACCGAACTTGGTGGTAGGCGGTTCTGATGTGGTCCGGTTCAATACCATGCCTGACCTAACGGGGCCTGATGTGGTTCGTCGCTCCAAGTCCCGGGGCTCAGGTTACCGGTTACCATCATCGAACGGCAGATCTTCGTGACTATGGGGTTCGCCCCGTCTGCTGTTTATCACAAACTGGCATGTAATAAAGAAGTAGACGGGCCACCACCGCTCAGAAGAACACATAAATATTTCCAACAATTGACGATTATCAACAAAGAGGAAATAGATGATCAGTGGTCCTAGTTGGCATTTACTAGAATTGTGTGCTAACATGACCGCACCACATCTTATTTTGCCTAGTCCCCTCACCTCTGCATACCAACACAAGGTTGGAACAGAAATTCGAACTTCTTTTTCGCGAGAGATTGGAAAGAAAAAGGCTAAATGTTAATACAATGGAGCATTATTTTTCCATCCCGTATTGATCTGTTTTGATCAATGACGTACGGATTCATTAAAAATGAAACAATTGATTTTAATTTATCGCTATTCACACATTGAATCCTTCCTTTTTTTGAGTGGAGAGAAGATGAAAGATTGTATACCAGTGAGATTTTTTGTGGCGCGCGCGCGCGCGTGTTTGTGCGCCCACACACCTTTGAATATTTTTGCAGGGAATCAACCGATCGGCGAAACGAATGTGCGTGAGAATCAATCACCCCTAGGATGCCCGTTGTAGAAAAATAAAGAAAAGAATCTGAGCAAAAACATGCACGCACGCACATACGAACGCACACAAACACTGGCCGGATCAATGGAGCCTGTTTTCAAAGTGATCTTCCGGTTAACTGGACAAATTTGTGCCCCTCGGTTTCCGTCACGGACCGGATCACGTCTGATCAAACGGGGAGAAAGACTGTTCTCACAGGCGACACATGAACACACACGTGGAGAGATTGGATAAACACGCACGACCGAATTGAGTCAATTGTTTGCTGTTTGTCGGCTTGTTTGATTTTAAACCGGTAATGATTTTCTCCAATCATGTGGTTAAGTTAAATCGTGTACGGAGCAGATGAATGAAGGGAAACGCTTAGACGCGCACTGGACAGCCGTTTCGATCCGATTCGATCTCAGCAGTAGTAGTAGTACGAACCCAGAGACTGGACTAGGGATAGAACTGGGGACTTCACACAAGTAAACTACCCACCTGCCAACCGTTATTTTTTCATAGTTTACGTATGCACGAGATAACACAACCCATCTTTGCTAGTTTGTTACAAATGTAAAAAGCCAATGTGAGAAAATAATTCAAATCTCTCAAGCGTACAACAATCCGTTTGCATGTGTAC